TTGTGTCCTGTAAAAATTCACAAAGTATGTAACAGATTTAAGAATGTTTCATTGGATTTTATACAGTCTTAATTATATCATCTTGTTCACTTCAAATAGGAAATCACTTGACTTCTTTCTTTCCCATCCACATCACTTTTCTTCATTTTGTCTTACTGCTCTAGCTAATATATCAAGGGCATATACTGAATCAAAGTGAAGACAGTAGACACCATTGTCAGTCTGACTTTAGAGGAACTGCTCTCCATCTTTCCCCTTTAGTATAAACTTCTCTAATTGATTTGTCAGTTAAAATCTTCATATTACTAAGATATTTTTCTCCTATTTCAACCTCTTCAGGATTTTATCACCAATATGTGCTATGCTTTTTCAGATGTCTTTTTTTTGCCTATGGAGATGATAATGTGATTTCTGTCATTAATTCCAGGTGTGAAGCAATAACCCCCACCCTAATATTGGAATGTATCCAAAGCTGTCATGATGTATGTTTGTCTAATATGTTCTTGAATTTGATTTGCAAGCACTTTACTGAGATTAAAAAACTAATTTTGATTGATTTATTTTTAGTACATATATATGAATGGTTTGGCCTATATGCATGTGCATGCAATGCTCATGGAGGCCAGAAGAGGGTTTTGGATTCCCCTGGAACTGGTGCTACTACAGTTATTAGCCACCATGTGGGTACTGGGAACGAAACTCAGGACCTCTGAAAGAATAGTCAGTGCTCTTAATCACTGAGCCATGTCTCTAACCCCTTTGCTGAAATATTTTACATCCAAGTTCCTTATTGAATTTGGTTTATAGTTTCCTTTTTTGTTGTTATCTTTGTATCCTTATCAGGCTTTGGGTGTGCTCATGTGTGTGTGTGTGTGTGTGTGTGTGTGTGTGTGTATGTGTGTGTGTGGTGTCTTCATGTTTTTTTACATGTGTTCACGTGTGTGCAGTTATACTTTCCCATGTGGGTGTATTTGAAGGTGAGAAGTCTTTTTCTCTGTCACCATCTGCCTTGTTTAATGAGTCAAAATCTCTAATTGTACTTGAAGAACACTGTTTTCCTAGCCTGCCTGTCCAGTGAAGTCCCAATGTCTGCCTCTCTCCATTCATCCAATGCTGAGTCTACAGACGTGGTGATCCATTTTAATAGGATATTCTATTCACCATGGGGAGGAATGAGTGCTCCTTATTGCTGGAAAGAATGAATATTCTCTTGTCAGTGTGTTTTTCCAAATGAAAAAATTCTGTAACTTCATTTTACTTTCTGTTTGAATTCCCTGGTCTGAGACACCCCTTATCCTCCTTCAACATCAAGCTACAATCTGGTGTCTGATGTTCGGACTGAATGAATGGAATGAAATTATTATCTCTCCATTTCATAAAGATTCAGAGCTCAATTAAAAGGCTCCATTCCAAACAAAAGTGTAGAAGTAATATTGACTTTACTGTTTTAGGTTTATAATGTCAACTACAATGGACTCTGCAAGTGAAAATTCTCTTTCCTGGTCAAACTTCTTTGGCAGTGTCTCTCTGACTATTAAAGTAAAGCTGTGTTCTGCTAGCATGTGGCTGGGTAAAAGTACTGAGCAAGCATACTCCTTTATGTTGGTTTGCCAACTACTCGTCTCGCTGAAGTATTTCATAATGTACTTGGCTATTAATTTGTCAGTTATCTTATTTTGGAATTTCTCTTCTCAAATTATAACATTTATTTAATTTAAATGTTCTCTTTGCAACATCTAAATCTTTTCCCCAGGGAATTATTTGAGAGGGAAGGAACTTGTTCAGGAGTGATTTCTCCCCTCGAATTTGTTCTAAATATTCTCACAAACTAACTTGTAATGACCTTACAGCTTCTTCAGTTGGAAACAGCATAACAAAGATGTGAAAAGTTTCCTGACCACGTAAAATTATCTACACAGGTAAATGGAGAGTTGCTTTCTTTTCAGAACGACCCAGAAGATTTCCAGCAACTTAATTATATCTAACCTGTAGGGTGTCTTAGTTTGTACTTGTTCCATATGATGCCATGTTCTCTAGTGTCCAACCATGATTATATGAGATTGTACTTGATCTCAGTTGCCTGAGAAATGGGTAGATAAAAGGATATGTTCATAGAGAGGAAAGAAGGGCCTTAGAATTATTCATTTCAATAAGTGAAGGACTGCAGAAGTCTCCCTCAGTGTTGTAGTTGTTTTTTCTTCTTCTTCTTCTCAATCTTTCCATTGTTATGCAAACATTTAATAGAGGGACACATAGAAGTATTTGTAAATCCTTAAAGTCTTTTTTGTTGCTTTACCATTACTGAATGAAAGGAGAACAATTCATGTACCTCACTTTCAGTTTTAACTCTTTGTTTCTGAGTTAAAAATTTATTTATGAAAGTTTTGAAATTTATTTATGAAAGTACTGAAATTTCAACTGAAAGGTTTGAAATTTATTTATGAAAGTACTGAGTTTGAAAATTTATTCATGAAAATTTGGTCTTTTATGCAAAAGTATGTAAATATAGCATCTATATTTCTCTACACAGATATTTCAGAGACGGTAAGTATTTAACTTTGGGTAGTAAATATTAGCATTGTATTTAAGGGGTTTATATCTGTCTTAGTCTGTGTACTTATAACCTTATTTACTGCAGCCACTCATAAAAGAAGTGATTTTTTTCACCAAGAGTACTTCAATGTATGCATTCATGAAGCAATGTACTCGTAATTTCAGTTGACTATTTGTGTTACCTAGTGAAATAATGTCTATATATTAACTGTCAAATAATCCCAAATGAGATATCTGAATTGAGAAAATTAATGTGCCAAAACATAGAAATTAGTTAGAACATATATTTAGTTTAATTTTATAGCCTGATAGATGTTTATTTTTCACATTAAAAATATCTTTTATGTTACATGATTAATATTAAAAACTCAATTGATTCATCTTTTAAAATTTTGTTATTTATATTTTATGTGAATGAAGATATTGCCTGCATGTGTGTAAGTGCACCTGTGTCATGCAATGCCAGTAGAGGTAAAAAAAAAAAGCATTAGATCCTCTGGATCTGGAGTTATGGACGGTTGTTAGCCACCATGTGGGTGTTGAGAATCGAACCCCAGTCCTCCGCAAAAGCAACCAGTGCTAGTAACTGCTGAGCCATCACTCCAGTCCTCATTATTTTGTTTTGTGAGTAGTATATTTTACATGAACTGTAACAAAGAAATGTTATTATTATAAGTATATTTTTTATGAGAAAACTTAAAAATTTCATGTAATACGTTTGTTAGAGTGTAACACAATAAATACATCTGTGTTCTAGAAGCCTAATATTGACTTTATGTGTGAATCTTAAATGATTCGGATGAAGATGTCAGTACATATACTTTACGAATCCCATGGTCAGGGAGTGCTTCATCTATTTCACTTGGAGTAAAAACAAATGTTTACTGCCAGGTGTTTATTAAAATGTGGATTAGTTTTCCTACTAATTTGCTCTGTGATGATTGATGTTGAAAGCACAGTCATTGTCTTCTACTCTTTTTAGAATATCAAATCAAATCATTGAATATATAAACTGCATAGCATAACACATAGCTTAAAGACTCTATTTTATTGTATTATGGAAATATTAAACTGACCAACAGCCTTCTTGATCGGATGAAATACAACAGTGATAGTTAATGAGAATGGCAGCACTCACTAAATATTGAAGGAACTCAACAGTGAGCTGTTTCCAGTCTGTAGCTTCTACCTGTGCAGTTCCCTGAGTCAGATGTTGGCCATAAGGGGAATGACACTTTTAGAATGAATGCCTTGTTCATCTTCTCAGTAAATCTCAGACACAATTCAAATGTTCTTCCCCTCTCCTTAATCTATCCAAATAGAATCCTCTTGCTCAAAAAAAAAAAAAAAAATACAAGACTTCACAGCTAAATATTCCAAGAACTTTCAAATAGTAAAACAATTTGTACAATGGTATCATATACAACTTAATCCTATGTCTCAATCAGTGTTTATTAACTACAAAGTATATTATTGCTTATTTTCTGGGCAATAGTAATGATTATTATATGCACAAGGTTTTTGATAATGCATTTCTCTTTAGTTATAGTGAAACACTAGAAAGCATGTATAATGGCTATCATCTGTATAGAATTAAACGATAAACAGCACTTTCAACACTCTAAATGTAACAACAACAGCAGCAAACTATCAGGGAAGTATGTACTAAGCACATGTTCCAGTTGTACATAATGAAATATAGGCATGAGAAGTGTATTATATGGTTCAATGTAATTCCATAGCAAGTGAATGAGATTTTAATACAAGTGAGATAATTGTAGAGTTTAAATTATTCTGCACTGCCCTTTGCTCTTTCCCAAGGCCCTGGTTCTTACCTGGGTACTACACAATGAAAAAACTGGAGGCGTTGTTTGGTCATAGTGTTAATCGCCGTGCATTGCCCGTTGATTAGTAGTATAAAAGTGAAGACTACAGCCTTCAAAATTTCTGTAGCACTGTAATACAGGAAAAAGGGGGAAACATAAGCAGACGAGAATGAGGTCACACTGAAGGTATTTCAGCCTACAACCAATTACAAGTAATAAGTCAGTACTAGTTAATACACTGGAAAATTTTACATCACAAAGTGCATTTCTGACAGGAAGGACACCTTTCAGTTTGCCATTTTTGATATCTTTGGAGTTGTAACATATTTTCAATAATAAGTTTTGGGGTATGAATTACTGTGCTCCAGAGATTCACTGAGACTTGAGTTAGAATATTAATTTATAGGCTCAATTAAAACATTTGAGGGGAGATGGAATTTTCAATAGAAGGTACAGTATTTTCAGAGCTGCTTACTAAATATATATTCCAGGTTTATCACTGTAGAAGATGGTGAAGAACATGTGTAAACTCTGAAATAGACTCATGGTTATGTTCACAGCTTCATCTCAGGTCTTGTTTTCCTGAATGTTCATTTCTAAATAAGTTTTATAGAAAAGTCAATGGGACAGAGCAGGAATGTCACAGAATTTGTCCTCCTTGGCCTCAATCAGGATCCTGTTCTACAAACAGCACTCTTCGTAATGTTTTTATTTATCTACATTGTGACAATTGTGGAAAACCTGCTCATTATAGTGACAGTTATTGCCAGCCCCTCCTTGGACTCTCCAATGTACTTCTTCCTAGCCTGTTTTTTCCTCCTGGACGCTGTTTATGCCACTGTCATCTCTCCCAATTTGATCATGGACTTAATCTGTGACAAAAAGACCATCTCCTTCTCATCCTGCATGGGACAGCTATTTACAGAGCATTTATTTGGTGGAGCTGATGCGTTCCTTCTGGTGGCGGTGGCCTGTGATCGCTATGTGGCCATCTGTAAACCACTGCACAATGTGGCCATCATGAATCGAAGAATTTGCATACTCTTGGTAGTGGTGGCCTGCACTGGGGGATTCACACACTCTTTGGTTCAAATTCTCTTTGTTTATAACCTTCCTTTCTGTGGTCCTAATGTCATTGACCACTTCATGTGTGACATGTATCCGTTATTAGGACTTGTGTGCACTGACACCTATTTCCTTGGCATCACTGTAGCTGCCAGAAGGCACAAAGCCCTGTCCACCTGCACCTCCCACATCATGGTGGTTGTCTGCTTTTTCGTCCCCTGTATTTTCATGTATGCTAGACCTGTTTCCAACTTTCCTATTGATAAGTCTATTGCTGTTTTTTATACAGTCATCACTCCCATGTTGAATCCCTTGATATATACCTTGAGAAATTCTGAAATCAAAAATTCTATGCAAAAGCTCTGGTGTAAGTTGTTAACCAGAGATCGAATAAGACGGTTTCCTGGATGAACATGTTATTATTATAAAGCAAGAACCTGGATGATGTCATCTACTCAGTGCTTCTCTAGGCATTCTCTTCTTTTTTCTAAGATTTATTTTTGTGTGTAATGACTGCTTCACTGCATGTATGTATATGCTCGACATATGTGTTCCATTGCCTGTAAAGACCAGAGGAAGGTGTCAAATTCCTTGGAACTAGAATTGCCAACAGTTGTTAGTATCATGTTGTTTCTGAGAAAGGAAACTGGATCCTCTGCAAGATCAGCCAGTGCTCTGTTAACCACTGAGCTATCTCATTACTGTCCATGATTTCCTTTATACAATACAATCAGAATAGATGCGGTTTTCTTCGAGTTTAGAATAGGCTTACTAGGATTATGGTACATGACTAATGCCCTGACTTTTTCCTACTGTAAGTAGACATAAAGCAAAGGTCACATTGAACTTTTTTCTTCTCATTTAAGACTAAAGTAGAACTAGCAGAAAGTCATTTATTTTCTTCAATAGATAAAATTTAACCCAATTTGTGGACTTTATAAGATTTTATGTAGAATTTATTTCTGCTTTCATGAGAAAGCAATATGGCTAACAGACAAATATTGGGGACTAAAGAGAGCTTTTGGGATATTGATTATTAGTCTGTGAGTACAACAGATTTATGTCATTTCTTTTCTCAGTGCTTTAGAATCACTTCTGTTCTTTTTGTAAGTACCAGTGCCCTTTTAGTTCATTGTGCATGGATAACAGATGATAAAATGCTTACCCAGATATATGATGAGGGGCTGGAGAGATGGTTCAGGGGTTAAAAGAACTGGTTGTTCTTGAAGAGGACCCGGGATTGAGTCCCAGTCACCCATATGGTATCACTCCAGTTCTAGGGTATCTGATGCCCACTTCTGCTTCCATGGACAATGCATAACAGGGTGCACCTACCTACATTCAGGCAATATACTCATCCACTTAAAATAAAAATGATAATTATATATTGAATATATTATGAAAGTAGATAATAGTAGTCCTGGAAGGCCACACTAAACTCATTATCAAAAATTTTATAATATTCCTTACTGGTTAACATGCTCAATTGTGTCATTTTTAGTGAGCAGGTGTATCCCACACTTTCTTCATTTTGGTGAAGAAATTGGCCCATAAATATATTTTGCAGATGTACCATGTTTTTAAATGTTGTATTCAAACTCAATAATTTACTTACAGACTTAAAAATCATTTTCATATCAACATTTTGATACCAATATTTGTAAAACAAAAGCAAATACTTCTCAATCCAATGCCATATCCAAGCAACACAAACCATGAGGAAGTTACTCTTGCTTTCAGTGAATATGGAAGTATTTAGATTTGCAGGAGATCATATTCTGGGCTTGTCTTGCATTCTTATTTTGAAATACATATTGTCTGCACTTAAAGCATATACTGTGTTGGTATGCTATAGGTAGATAGATAGATACATAAAAAGAGTATTCTTAAATTTACACATTCACTCGTTCATCATTTCACTTACCCATTGTTTTACTTTTGTTTAAAGATCGTAGAAACTTTATCACAAGCAACCAAATATGATGTAGTTTTATTACCTGGAAGTGTATGTCTATGCGTTTGAGACTGAAAGTAACTGGGATGAATAAATGTAAAGAGATAATATATAATTTTTCCTTTTCTAACCAGAATTGTACCTTGCAACTTTTGTTATTTTTAAACTATTATAAAGTTGTGCTATCCAACACTATGTGTTTTTTCATTTATTTTGTAGGTCTTACCTTATCTATTATAGAAATCATTGAAGCTATTTTTGTGTATCATCCTAATGCCATTCTTGCATCTTTTCCCAAAATTAATCCTAAATTGAAACATTTTCCCAGTAATAGTTATAAGAAATTTAATTACAATTGTATGTAGTCTCAAAATATACTTTTTTCCTTTTTTATTATTTTGTAGTTTCATACATTGAACTATGAATTTTTCTTGCTTTCAACCAATTCTCCTTTCAGTCTCCCTCAATCTCTGGGACACTTCTCAAATCCCAGTTCTTCTTTCATGCATTTTGAATGTGGACCACTGAGCTTAGAGTTTGTGTGAGAAGACTCCTTCTTATGCTTTAATGTAAAACTTTTATTACTACTCTTTAAAAAAAAAAAAACTACTGAGCTTTTGTAACTTCAGACAACAGTTCTTAATAAAATTTGGTTCCCCTCCCCACTCCATGCCCCTTCCATCCACCCACCAGACCTCATGTGTTGCAGCCAAGGTACCTTTGACCTTCTCCCCGCGGGGACAGGGGATAAGTAGGCTCGAAGTCAAGGACACAGACTCCGGGACACTCATTTGGCAATGTGCAAGCGAGCTCGTTTGTTGTGAACACAGGCGTCTCCTTTATACCCCCTTCCCTCCTCCCACTGTTCCCTTATGTCCCATTGGAGTCCTTCTATTGGAGCTGTGGATGTGTTGTTGGTTTCTAGCTTCCAGGGCAGATTTCTGGTCAGTGCCTTCCTGCTCATCAACAGGAAGCAGGGTGGCCTGTGCTGTTGGTCTCATGCCTAGCCTCCTACACTCATGTATTTATTCCACCTACACATTAATTCCTATTCAGTCAAACATTTGTACCCAGATGCCCTTCAGTGCAAATCCATCCACTGCTTGCCTATGATCCCTACTACTCTTTTTGAAAAGTGGAATATTTTCATTTCCACTGAACTGAAATTTCCTAAAAATTTGAAGAAATTGTCTTTGTATTGAAATTTATGTTCTCTTTGATGTTACCCAACTTGTTCACATATATTTCAGAGATTCTCGTTAATTTCTGTTGCTCCACTGACATCTATTGTGTCTTCCTTTAAAGACTTTTAGTCTTTAAGTATAATAGTCTTTTAGTCTTTTAGTATAATAGAGAATGGTGAATTTTGTTTTTCTTTCCAAAACTGATTATTTTGTGATTTTCTTGTTTTGAGAATGCTGCATATTACCTGCTGTGTGTGTATTAGTATTTCTTTTTCTTTGTTTTTTAATTTATTATTTAAAAATATTTTTATTGAGCTTTATGGATTTCATATATTTCTTAATCACACTTAGACATATTCCCCATCCATACCCCACATACTTCCCCTATTCCCCCTGAACCTCATGCATTTTGTCATATATGTTAAGTTATCCTGGCAAGCATTTGTACCCAGGTGTCCGGTGCAAGTTTATCCACTGGAGTCTAGTCGCCCATCTAGAAATCTTAAGGAAAGTCTACTTTCCTTCATCCAGCAGTAATCAGTTATCAGCAGTCCCCAGAAAGAGCAGTCTGGCTCTTTCTCTTGCTCCACACCGGACTCTTGTCTGATTGAGTCAACATGGGTCTTGTGCTCCACCGATACCTGTCATGTGAGTGCTGGAAGTGATCCCTGGGTGCTCTGCGAGAGCAGGCAGTGCTCTTAAAGCTGAGCCATCTCTTTAACCCCTTTTCTCCTGTATTTTATAACATCTCTTCTCTCTACTTATACTTTTCTTTGTTATTCAGAAAGAAGATTTTAATTTCATATAATTCCCTTTATTAGTTTCTGGTTATTTTCTATGCTACCAGAGGACTTTTCAGGTATCAACTGACTACCTTGTATAATTGTTTTCTTTATGTTTTTCTCTAGCAGTGTCAGAATATGAATTGTTTCTGAACTGCTTTTAAAAGATTTTTGTGCTTAGAGTTCTATATCAAATGTCATAATTATGCATTTGATTTCATCTTTCTATGACTCTATGTTGAAGAATCTTTTTTTCCTAGTGTATGCTTTTGGTTATGTTTATTTTTGCTAGGTATAATTTGAAAGTCATATATTTTCTAATTTCTTTCTGATAAGTTTCTTATGTTTCTTATTCATATACAGAAAAACTACTGATTTTTATGTTGATATTATGTCCTGTAAAATTGCATTAAGTATGTTAACAGATTTAAGAATGTTCCATTTGATTTTACAGGGTTTTCTATTTATTTTAAAAAATTTTTTATATTATTTCATTTATTACATTTTATTTTCTGTGTATCAGTGTATTGCCTGCATGCATGTAAGTACACTTGTGTGGTGCAGTGGCTGTGGAGGACAGAAGAGAGCATCAAAGCCCCTGTAACTGGAGTTATGGACAATCGTTAGCCATCATGTGGGTGCTGTGATTTGAACCCCAGTCTTCTGTCAGAACAGTCAGTGCTCTTAATTGCTGAGCTATCTCTCCATTTCAAGATTTTACGGGGTCTTTTAATTACACAATCATGTCCTCTTCAAATAGGGGTCACTGGACTTCTTTCTTTCCTAGGTTTATCACTTTTCTTTCTTTTATTTTTCTTATGTGTTACTGCTCTAGCTAAGATATCAAGGAGTATACCAAATAAAAGGGAAGAAAGTGTCAGTACTGATTAGTATATACTTGGCTATAGATTTAACATTCACATCCTTTATAATAGTGAGATTTTTTCCCTATTTCTACCATCGTCAGAACTTTTAATACCAATACACACAATTTTTCAGATGCCTTTTCTTTCTTTTGAGATGATTATGTGATTTCTGTCATTAAGTCCATGCATGAAACAACAATCGCATTTCTGGGATGAAACCAACATTGTCATGATGTATGGTAACGAGTGGTTTGCCTACATGTATCTAAGTGCCCCTGTGCATGCAATGCTCCTGGATGCCAGAAGAGGGTTTGGGAACCTCTGGAACTGGAGATACTGACAGTCATTAGCCACCATGTGGGTGCTGAGAACCAAACTCAGGTCCTCTGCAAGAGCAGCCAGTACTCTTAACCACTGAGCTATGTCTCCTGCCCCTGTGCTAATAAAGTTTAGATCTACCTTTCTCATAGAAATTGATATATTGTTTTCTCTTTTTTTATTGCTGAATCCTGATAGTCTCTGTGTGTGTGTGTGTGTGTGTGTGTTCATGTGCTTTAATTACATGTGTGTGCCCATGTAGATGTGTGTGGAGGCCTGAGGTCTCTTTTTCTATCACCATCTGTCT